ACTTCAGACAGTTTATCCACAACTTCGAACATAATCAATAACTTATCAAAAAGTTGGAAAAACATAATAAAAAATTAAACAGACTGACCTTGTTGGTTCTTTTTAATCAAACTTGTTTGGGGATACACACACACACAATTCCTGATCTTGAAAAAGTCATAAGCCTCTACTCCTGTTTAAAAGATAGGGAAGCCATATGAACTGGGCAATGAAAATAGCTCCAAATGGTTGGCTCAGTTGATTTTTACATCTCTGCTCTTGCTGGATTATTTAATGACAAGATCAGTTTTTATTATTATTAATATTTGTTTGCTCATTAAGTACCAAACTCCACATTGAAGTGTTCCATAAATATTTTCAGCAGTGTGAAATACATTAGGACAAGAGTATTGGCTAAAGAGGCACATAGTTTGAAGGAGACATGTGTCTCAGGTTGTAAAACCTAATAAAACATTTTAGAAAATAATTGTGGTTATTCTTGAGTGCCCTTCGTGCCCTTCATATATAAACATAGGGAAATCTATAACAAAGTGGAAAAAGTTACCATATGACATGTTTAATCCTTTTGGATGACATCAGACTAAAGTAATGTTTATGTTGAATATGACTATGCATGCACATGAAAGAGAGGACACATTGACAATTGAATTTTTTTTTTAGCATCCCCTCTCCTTCATTCAATGCAAACATCACTTCAGCCTGAAGTCCTAATGGACAAATTTTCCTTTCTTGATATATATATATATATTTATAAATCATTTTCCCCATATATAATCATAAATATGTACACTTTATTGTATGAGAGAGGAAGAAAGATCATACAATCATATCTGCACATATATGTGTGTGTATGTATATTTTTTTTCTGTGTACATCTGCAAATATAAAGGCTAAATCAAATTAAAAAATGAAGTATTGCTGTCATTTCTGGCCTGGAGTTGCTCAATCCTCACTTTTCAGTCTTGATAGTGTAAGAGTGTGTATGTGGTCTCGTGACTGACAAATATATTTTCAACTTTACTGCCTCTTTCTCACAAAGCATCACAAACCTATTGTTATTTCTATGGCAAATGTTCAGACAAGCTACATTCCCTAATTCCACCAGTTCTGACTTTCACAACTAGGACCTGCCATGTCACATACACAGGGTTGAATCATCCTCATTCCCTTTATATTCTATTGGTAAGGAGAAAGTCCCACTCAGATGGTATCTTCATGAGAATTGCTACTTTGTGGAACAGATCCCTGAGAGAATGCTTCCCAGGTCACTGCAATCTTAACCTCTTCAAGTCTAGCATCAGCCAAATCTATCTGTGGCGGACATGAGACAGAACCTGGGATGAGCACAACTGGTCGTGGACTTGCCTTGTCCCCACCAAAAAAAGAGCCCATATTTGCTTAGCATGTAAAGCTACTGCAGTTGAAATGAGGGAGAGAAAAAAAACTTACCGCTTCTGTCAGAATCCATCCTTGGCCAGATAATGTAAAAGAATGAGGGGGACTGGCATCGCATTTTTATACAATAACGATGCAATGCATTATGGGACATGGACGCAATGAATTATGGGATCACGTGAAGACGCAAGGGATTATGGGTATATGAACAACTATAAAAACAACCACTTTTTTCCGAGTCGGGGAGTTCTTCGAGGGACGTTCACGGTTGATGGCAAGAATGGGCAGTTAGTGTGATTTGGAGACAGAACTCGAGAAGGAACGACTCAAGGTTGAAATACCAGCTGGGAGAGCTTGAATTTACTCACTTGTTACTGTTTTCTTCATTCACCTCACTATCCTACATACCCTCATAATCTGCACTTACTACTTCCATGACTATACAACCACAGTAACACTCTACTTTTGAGTGGCTCTTGGGTCTTGTATTTGGTGAACATTTAATGCAAAAAGAAAAAGATGTTTACAAACTTAGCTTAATCTGGTAACAAGTAAAAAAATAGTGGGACACCTGCTGAACATGGGATCATTTATTGAAGTGAATGATTAGTCAAATAAGTTGCTAGACATTGCGCTATCTCTCTCTCTCTCTCTCTCATATATATTGTGGTGTGTAACGCAACAATTCAACTGATGATAACAGGTAGGCACAAAGAAACACGGTGTCGCACGTCCAACCTTCTCACGAGCTGAAAGCCCTCTCGTCTGAAACAGCAAAAACGAGCCTGCTTTATACAGCCGCGGACCGACCACGATTTGCATGCGAATGATGAGACAACGAGATTTCGCGTTAACTAATCGAGACCGCCCGGCATAAAAAACGTGGGCGCCCGCCATTTTGGTTTTTCTTTTACCGTTGAAGGACCAGAGTTTGCATACTGCGCAGATTCGAACAGCGTTTCCGAGGTAAGCCATTTTCACAATTTTCCCACACCCCCTGATCTCATGATCACAAACAGGGCAGGGAGGTGGCGATCGTCACCGTCGAGTCCCCCTCCGAAGGGGATAACACAAGCTTCATCCTCGTGCGTGTTCTCGCCTGTGGTTTGAGTGTCGGTAAACACTGTGTCCGCCGGGAGGCTGCTGTTATCAGAATCACTGCCCTGCAGGTCTAACTCAAGGCAGATTGAACGCCACTACTCCCAGACTCGAATCGCTTTCATCGCCGGTAGTGGTAGTGATTGCATCACCGGTCGCAAGTCTTTAATGTGATGAGGCACCCCATCAACTCTCACAGATTGCGGGCTGATCACCTCTGTAACACGTCCAGTGCCGTGCTTTTGTTGTACACTTGCCGCATGGGTTTTTGACCCAAACAACATCTCCTTTTTTCAATCTCCTCCAGTCACTTCTAGTTCAGGCAGCAGGTTGGCTTCGGCGCCTTTCACGCGACATGGTATTTGTGCCGTGCATCAGCCGGCGCCGTGGATGGTAAAATGTTATCTTTCGGGCGACATTATACCAGTAAACCGCTTCCGATACTGTACAGCCCTTCCTGGCTGCGATGGTCTTGATGGTTCTGTGGTTCCGCCTCCACGATGCCATTTCCACTTGGCAAGTAGGCACATCGAAACCGCAGATGCACGCCCCAAGTGTCCGCAAATTCTTTAAAAATCTTTACTGGTGAACGCAGTATCGTTATCCGTCAGTATTTCCACGGGTGGGCCTTCGCTCCAGGAAAACATTCTCCAACAGTCGAATGACGGTGCTCGCGTCTTGTCTGCGCAGCGGCCGCCATACCGCAAACCTGGAGGGACCGCAATCAATGAGTGTTAAAGAATTCTCACCATTGTAGTGAGTTATGTCCATTGCCAGTCTGCTCCAGTTGCTCTTCACACGCCAGTTCGCCTCTTTCCCAGTAAACGAGTGCCGGATCGATCGACTGACAGGTTGTGCAGGCCTTTACAACAGATTTAACGCTTTCTCTGGACACCTGCGGGTCGACTAACCTGGCGGCACAGAGTTCGTTTCACGCCCGGATGTCCGCATTGACGGCGCGTACAAGCAACCTGGTCCTCATCCAGTCGCCTCCTGCCACTGCACAGCTCTCGAGTGCCGGTTCTCCTCTCTTGAGCAGTTCTAGCCACCTGTGCGGTACTCTGGTGAGGCGATCCGCACGGTTCTGACAGGACACTGCACGAAAGCCACGCCTCGGTCAATCCATATTCCTCCACCAGCGATCGCGAAATGCCCAGCCGCCGCCTGACCAGCATTCACCAGCCGCCTTTTGTGTTCACCCGCGTTTTCTCAGTCAAGGTGTCTGAAATCCACCGGTGCACACACGCCAATCAGTAACCAGATGCAACGTTGTCGCCTCCCACTGGAGAGCTAGATTCACTTTTAAAAGCGCCGCACGAGTGCAGCCAAATTAATATGCCTGGCATCATTAGTCGGACGCAGCCAGCACGCATCTTTGATGACATTTCCGTTTACTTCCAATGCCACTCCTGTCGCCATGGAACTCGATCCACCCAGACTGTGATCTCGCCACCACTCATGCACCAGTCTCCTCCGACGGGATCCAGTTCCCGACTCTACTTAACATCTCTGCTAGTATGCGACAGAGAGAGGGATCTTTGATGTTATCATCCCATCCATTGGTTGCTGCGGTTGCCAGGCGCTTGACGTAATGCAACTGCCACCCTGAGCCATCCACACGCTGGTAAGTGTCCAACAAGTTTCCCACACAATGAAAATATGCGCCGCCGGTCAACACATCAGGGGCTTCCAGAATTTGACTTCCTCGTTTCCATCGGAGGGTGCCATTTTCTTCCCAGACTTGCAAGCCAAGAACTCTTTCTCCATCTCTCAGTCGCACCGGATCCTTGCACACCAAACCATAATCCAAAAAGTGTTGTCTTACACGCGATGCAGAGGCCAAACTCTCATTAATGAAGATATCATCAACATATGCTGATGTGGCACTTTCAATTGTGTGGTCTTGCGATGTGATGGCGCCTATAACGGATTTCATGATGAGTGGCGCTACATTTAGCCCAAATCCTAGCCAGAAGACAGAAGCGTTGGCCTTTGAAAATAACCGTTTGAAATGGCCACAGCACTTCGTCGATGTGAATCTGAAGATATGCGTTCCGCAGATCCAGAAGCAACACATTGATTCCCTGCCGCCGCCATCGTTCTCAACTTATGTGCGCACACTTCTGCATCGGCAGTGAAAGCATCCACAAAGTCGTTCAATTCGCGGTAATCGAGTACCGGACGCACCTTCTGTTTCTGCTCCTGCACGACCGCCATCAAGGGAATCAGACCCTTTGGGGGTCCCAGTCTTTCCTGGGGGTACGGAATCAGCCAGCCGTCGCAATCCACTGCTGAAGCTCTTTCGTATTTTCCTCTGATGCTGTCGGGAACCTTGTACTCTGCGACCTTGTTGCGGCTGAACTGGTGGGTCTTTTTGGGCCCATTTCACCTGGCGGTCCACACCTCTCGTCGGAATTGAAGGAGACGCCAAATCCGCTCACTAATGCAAAGGGCTGCACACACCTTTCTTCTTTCACCCAGTTCCACATTTCCGCTGGCGGATCATCATGCCTCCTAACGCCAGATCGCATCAATCCCAAGTAGCAGGTCGTACCGAGGGGCCTTTGACGTGCCACCAAGACGTCGACTTTGGCATGACTCCCTCCATCTGTTAGGGACTGACACAGTCCCAACACCACAACAGGCCCGGGACACCCGTCAATCGTCCGAATCTCGATTTGTTGACTGTTCCATGTCACACATCGATCCGCACTAACGATCGATCGGGAACATCCAGTGTCAACGATCACCGAACATCGTTTACCCTCAACGTACGTTGACAACAGGCAATGCCGCGATTTACTGACTGAGAGGGGGCAAGGGTTGCGACAGCACCTTGTCCCCGGACTCGCTTTCCCGAGCAATCCTGTGCTACATGGCCTAACTCTTTGCAGCGATAGCAGCGTAGTCATGCTCGGTTCCATCTGCTGCCCCTCCTACATTACTTCGCCCGCAGTCCCTAGAGAAATGGTTGGGTCCACCGCACTTGTAGCACTTTGGGCCCTCCTCGGTGTCTCAGCCGCTCGCACGGGTTGCCGCGACCTTTCCAATCTTGAAGACGCCGAAGACGCAGGAGCCGACTGGTGTCGCGGGAAGCCCTGCCAGGAAGGCGGACCCCAGTATGCGGTCCGTTGTTCCGCCAAACGGTACTGCCAGCCTTCGAAATCAGCCAGGTAAACATCCACGGTCTCACCCGGCTCGAGCCGTCGTCCGAATACCGAACTGTTTCCAAGCGGCGAATGGGTCTATTCCAAAGGCCGATACAGGGCGTCCTTGATCTCTTCTAGGTCAGCATCGTCCCTAAGTTGTTGATATACTGCGAGGGCTCCTCCCGTGAGTCTCAGTGGGATGACTAGTGCAGGTTCCTTTATTTTGGACACCCTGCAAACACGTTCGCTTTTTTCAAACCATTCGACAATAGTCGGGCCCGTGGGGAGCCGTTTCAATTCTGGGATCAATTTTAGATCGAACTTGTCCATTGCCGAAATAGCTTGTGGTGTGTAACGCAACAATTCAACTGATGATAACAGGTAGGCACAAAGAAACACGGTGTCGCACGTCCAACCTTCTCACAAGCTGAAAGCCCTCTCATCTGAAACAGCAAAAACGAGCCTGCTTTATATAGCCGTGGACCGACCACGATTTGCATGCGAATGATGAGACAACGAGATTTCGCGTTAACTAATCGAGACCGCCCGGCATAAAATGTGGGCGCCGCCATTTTGGTTTTTCTTTTACCGTTGGAAGGACCAGAGTTTGCATACTGTGCAGTTTCGAACGCGTTTCCGAGGTAAGCCATTTTCACAATTTTCCCCACATATATATATATATATATATATATATATGATTAAAATGAGGATTTACTATATTTATGTGTAAAAGTACTCAATATCAGATAGTCCACTTTTACATGTACATATGTTCTAAGTTCAACATCAGGCCTGAAGATTGCATTCAAGCAGGTACCACTGTCACCACTTGGTGTTGACCTCAGTGTCCACGTGTGTGTCTTGTTTTTTTTTTTTTTTTTTTTGTTAGTTATAAAAAGTGAATCCGCATTTTGTGACCTGGATGGTAATATATTTATGGGAGTGTGGTTTGATCATGTGTTCACATATCCACTCTTACAGAAGGCAAGTGATATATTTGAGTTGTAGATTCATGCCTCTTTTCAGTATTAGTTTTAAGTGAACTTGAACTTGGTTTGTATATTCTGTTTTCTCTAATGATGGCCTTTATGCTATCTGACATTACATTAGTTTACTAAAAATAGTTTAAGTTTTTGATATTTTATAAGTCCAGTGATATTACAAAACTGTAAATTTAACTGCAAGCTAAAATAATGGCAACTAAAAAGAAATCAATTAAGATAAATTCTGGTGGTTGTCAAATATAAAATAAAATAAAATTCTGTATAGAAGATTGTATAGATGGGCAATTTGTCTATGATAATTTTACCCACTATTAGTATGTTATATAAATATGTGTATATAATCTTACACAAGTACTGTCTGAAAAGTGAAGTGCAGATAAGGTATAAATCAACTGGAATTAAATTTGCCCATTTTTATGTAAAGGACTGATCTGATGAACTGGATGTGTTTGTTTATTTTATATATATATATAATTGTTTTTTGTTCTATCACTCTCCAATCCCTCTATATAGACTGACTTTGTCAATAAAAGTATTATTTTGAACAACTTTTGTCATTTGTTTACTCGCTATTAGTCTGATATATAGATTTGTATGGGATAAGATGTAGTATATAAACAGAACAATGTGGGATTTTTAATAACAGCAAAAGTGATAAAAAGAAACTAAAGGAAATTGGCTAGATTATGTACCCAGACATAAAAAAAAAAAAAAAAATTTAATAAAATTTAAAAGTTTAAAATTTCAGCATCCCAACATTTTCAGTTTCTTATTTAGACATAATTATAATCAACATCTGCATTTTTATATTCCCCTTCCCTTTCTGTAGTTATATCAACAGAAACACTACATTAGTCTGAAGTCCTAAAGGATGAAATATGTCACAAAAATACATTTTCTACTTTGTCATTAATCTTCCTAATAGATTTGTATATAATCTTACACACAATGGTCAGTTACTTATTTCTGAGCACCACCAATCTGACAGGGTAGCTAGCCAATCCCTGTTGCATATTTGCATTTATTCAAAATCCACAGTCTTCCTGTAGTTTATACTGCAACTATGCTGAGCAGACCTTAGTTACAGTTCCTGGGAGACAACACATCACCTGGTATGATCAACAGTTGAACAAGGCCAGTACACTCGAACCCTTGGTGACTATGACTTGTGACATTGTGCTACAGCTTCCAAACTGTTCCATATACCCAGTTTTAGTCACAAGGCTTGGGTCAATGTATGAAATGTTTTTAGACACTTTTCAATAACACAGAAGTTACCTCCTGACAAATTTACTATGGTAAAATTTGAACCCAAGTCTCATGGTTAGAAAGTGAACATTCTATCCACACAGCTACGCACACACACACACACACTCTGCCCAAAAGGTAAGTTACAGAAAGGCATAAATCAACCGGAATTAAAATATTGCAAAAAGAGGTGGTATGTAGCACTTCTTGTAATAGCCAGAACAGCCTTAATATTAAGAGCATTCAATTAACCATTGCCATCAAAATAGGGGGGCAAGTGTAGCATGAGGTGGAATATGATTTTTGCATGCTAAGAGGAAAAATCTTATTTTGGGCCACAAAATTGATTGACTGAAAGACATGTTCTAGTACCTGAGCATTTCCTTTCAGTTTTTGGCATGCTACTCGGTAGCTGATGAGAACTTTCTGTAGTATATTATCATGGATAAGATTTGACTGTATCATATTACCCTGGAAACAAAGGTTGATTCCAGGACCAGGGAGCATCCATCATCAAAGATATCCACCTCAAAGCAAAAGATTCAATGCTCTACAATTATATGATTGATAGTAACTATGTTCTAGGCTGTAAAATGAGAGCTGCTTTCAGGCATAATGCCACTTAAACAGGTAGTTAACACATTGAGATAATATAGAAGACTAGACATATGGAGATTTTCCCATATACAAAAAAGAAAATATCTATTAACAACTCTTTAAATACACAATGTGGAGTAATGGATAGTGGCTCGGAATGAGGAATCCGAGAGCTGAGTTCAAATTCCAGTTGGGGTCATTATATTCACTTACGTGCAACAATTTCTATATGAAAAGGAAGATGAGTTTAAATATTACTTTGAGCACTAAAAGAAATTAAACTATATAGAGAAAAATGTTAAGTGGGAACTAGAGGAGTATCAGAAGCTATAAAAAATGTTGGTAGTGAGAATAGTGTCAGTTAAGTTCACAAAGTGCTCACAGTCCTTTAAAGAGAGAATTTAGGGTTGTCAATTTTTGTTGGGCTGTTTGAAAGTTGGAAGATCAACCTGGTGGTAATAGTGTCCATTTGATGATTGGAAGGAGTTGCATATTGGCATTTATGAAAAACTTTCAGAAGTCGGTACTGCCTTTTAGAACTATAATTGAAGATTGTGAATAATCTTCATATTATTAAGGAAACTTTGTTCTTGTGCATTTTTCAGACAAGCATAGTCAATATTATCCGTTTTAAGTTTTTGTATGTTGTCTCCATGTTCTTTTGAGGGTCACATACCTCAGAATCCAGACAACTTTCTCAATTTACAGTTAAGGTTAATTGCTCTGCTGGCTTACATCACACCACCTTGACTATTCACTCAAATAGAATTGCAATGAATAATGATTACGCTGATTTACAGCTTCTCTTAACTGTTCCGATTAGTTCACAAACTACTTTTCGAAGTTGTTTTCAGGTTTTGGGGTTGGTTTTTGCCTTGTACCAGACAATCAAACTCAAAAATGCAACTCTGGAAAAATGGAAAAAAAATGTGAAAACACTTAGTTTCCACAGTATCCTTCAAAATTGTCCTTTGTTGTTTTTATACTTCATCTTAAAGAGTACTGTTCATAAAGAGTAGCAGCGAAAGTACTGTTTTGTACTGCTCGATTTTTTATTTTTAATTACTTTTTATACTATTTTTCATCTAATATAAGGTCCAAGTGCCACTCAGTATAGATGGTTACTAAATGAGGTTGTTTTAAGGATGTACAGGGAGAGAGTAAGAGAATATGCAGATTAGAAAACAGTTGACCCTCGACTTGAAAAGGTTCAGATTGACTCATCTTTTTGAAAATTTGCCCCACAATGTAGCAATTCCCTGTAATGTTAAATTGCACTTTATATCATGCAGATGTTTCTGTGAAATTGACACTGAATAATATCAAACACAGTTGCAGTCCCTTATTCTTCTCCCGCTCTCCTTTTTTTTTTTTTTTTTTTGTAACAGCTGATAAATTTGTACAGGTCATTTTCCGGATAAAACACCTGTTCCTTCTTACTGAAGAAATGGATCATGTTTGCTAATGAATTCCTTCTTAATTGTATTTTGAGAAAAATACTCTGTAACTTCAATATGTGCATTTATATCCATTTTATATATCTGCAGTTTGGCTGTTTAAAATAAAAGTAGTTTCCATAAAAGTATAAGTTGATGTACAAGTGGTGTAATGGATAGCAACGTGGAATAAAAAAATTGAAGAACAAAGTTTGAATTCAAGTTAGGTTTTTCTTTTTACATTAACGTGCATGCAAATACTCTTAAGAAAGGTATCCATCACCTCCCTGTAGTTATGGATAAAATAGTAGGACTTTGGAAAAAAATCATTGTTCTCAAAAAATATTTAAACAATATTCACAACCTCCCCACCGCAAAAAAAATTACAATCCAAAATGTTTTGGGTTTAAATAACGCACAAATGGTTGATAAGCCATAAAAAAAATCCCTCAATCCACCATAAATGTCTGATGGGATTATTTACATATGGATTGGTATTTCTGCTGAGGGTTAGTGTAGTAACAGTGTACTTCCCATATAGTTAAAATATCATCTTCCAGCAATTTTGTTTAGGAATTACTGTAGTATCTGTGCTCCTTCAAAAGTCTCATTTTACTGTTGAACTAGCTAGATGTAACAGTCAGTTCCAGTCTGATAGTTTTTTTTTTCCCCACTTCTCTTCCATAAATCTCTTTATTTGCTTTCCTGCCACCTACAATGTTCAAAAATTTAAATGCAATGTCAATCACCATCTTGTCTTTCTTAATTTTTTTTTATTTTTTTATTTATTTATTGGTCCTTCTTCTCCTTAATTCCTCTCATTCTCTTTCAGTTTCAGTAACCCCTCAGGTCTTAGTGGCATTATCACCTTGCTTGTGGGTGAAATGAATAAGTAAAAAAAAAAAAAAAAAAAAAATGCTGACAATAAAATTCTTTCATCCTGAGAAGCAAGAAGTCCTTCATAACTTGTTATAGCAAAGTGAAACATGAAATGTTTAACTAAGACAACAAACTTTGTCATTATTTATTTACCAAGTTCATTGTTGCTAGTCAGGGAAGTGGGTGGTAGTTTTTGTTTACAGTAACTTTATAAAGATAATCTCTCTCTCTCTCTCTCTTTTTTATATATATATATATATATATATATATATATATATATATATATATATATAATATTAGTGGAAAATGTACATACGTAAGGGAATAAATTATGACCATGGAATATTAGTGTTTAAGCCTTTTTTTATATATATATATATATATATATATAAGAAAATATATTTGGGTAAAAATTGTTCATTGAAATTGCTTTTCCAAAGTACAAATGGTAATTGTTATAAAAAATATTTCCACATAATAGAAATAAGATAAAGCTATGAGGAAAAAAACATTTTTTTTATTTTCCATAAGTTTGTATAATAAACTTAGTAGCTCTGAATGAAATGGCTTGACTGTATATAATGAACATTTACTCTTACCACTTACATATAATGAAGTACTGAAAAGTTCTCAGATTAAGCAAGAAAGGATTCCAGGATAAATCCTGATGACTGGCTTCAGGTAGATCCTCTTGCTGTCGGATCAAACCAAAAAATGCCATATCTGGATTGAAACTGTCCAATTCTCACTTACAGAATTTAAGAGTTCAAAAGCATCTATGAAGCCTTGTGGGTGATGAATTATTTTCACTTCTTTCTTACAGCTAAAACCTCACAAGCTTCTTGCTACTCTATTACACTTTCCATAGAAAGCACTCTGACAAGCTACATCCCTTAGTTCCAGAAGTTCTAACATTTACAGCTAATACCCACCATTGTGACTCCTCTTCATTTCTTTCATATTCCATTGGTAAGAAGTAAATTGGATAGCTACTTTCCAAGAGCTACTACTTTGTGAAACAGACTCTGAAGAAGATGATTCCCTGATCACTACAATCTTAACCTCTTAAAGTCTATGGTCACATGTTATCTATCCTAAATACCCCAATAATATGGGGTCCTTACTTCCTCCTTTTACATTCATACAATAACCTCATTCAGTAAACTTCTACTTTGAGTGGCTCCTGGGCATTGCATTAAGTGAACAATAGTAAAATAAATAAATAAATAAAATATAAGAATATTGAAAATGTGGCAAACTTGGATCGTTGTGCTGCTAAAAAACTGGAGTGTTAAAAGGACGACTTTTCCACTTTTGTTTTAACTACCTCAGCAATGTTTGTTTTTTAAAAAGCGATGATTTGAATTGGAATAAAACCTCAACACATGAAAGTGAATTTATACATTTTCTGTGAGAATTTGCAGCAAAAATAATGCACTATTTATTAGATTGTTTATTTATTATATTGCTTATTGGAATGGTTTCTAATTGATACAAACTTTATAAAATGGTAAATAAGAATTTCCTTATAATTTATTCATATATTTTAATAATTTAATAAATATTTATAAATTTATGAATAAAAAATTGTTTTATTTTTTTTTTATAAATTGGTAAATGATAAATATTGCATTGCGATAGTTACAAATTGTATTAATTAGTTTTTAGAATGTTGTAAATATAAGATTTAGTCTTATATATAAATAATCTAATAAAGTGTTTAATATTTTTCTTGTAAATTCTCAAGAACAAAAATGTATAAATTCACTTTCATCATATTTTTAGGTTCTATTACAAATCTAATCATCACTTTTTAAAACAATAAACATTTCCAAGGAGCGATGGTAGTTAAAATGATAGAGCCAATGGGAAAAAAAAAGTCCTTTTAACATTAGATCTTTTTTTTTTTTTTTTTTTTTGTAGGCTTCAAGATCCAAGTTTGCTGAAAATATAATTTATTAGATTTCAATAGAAATTCTTTTTATTTTACTTATATCACATACAAAATTTTTGCATGTTATTCTATCATCTAATACAAATAACCCCTTTCCCATAGACAAAAAGGTTTCAAGCCTTTTACTATTTCCAGGGAAAATGTTCTGATAAACTACTTTATCTTGTAGAGATTTTTACAGCTAAGAACTGCTTTGTAAAAATAAAAACATACACAGTGGCAAACCATTTTCATTCCAATCATATTCCATTGGTAAAAAAGAAGTTTAATTTCCCAAGAGCCACTGCTTTGTGGAACAGATTATCAATAGGATGGTGTTTCCCTGACCACTACAATTTTAACCTCTTCAAGTCTAGAATCAACCATTATCTGTCCTACATATTTTCATATAATCTACAATTCTTATATCCATAAAACAATCCCATTCAGTAACTCTCTATCTTGAATATCTTTTTTGAGCCTTAACTGGGTGAACAATGGTAGGGGAGGAGGAAGGGTGGGGAGAAAACTCCATATAAAATTCACCTTTTAAATAATGTAAACATTGGGCCATTATTTATTTTATTTATTTATATATATATATATATATATATATATATATATATATATATATATATATATAATTGAACATTGAAGTCAACACTTAGAGGAGACAGGTTGTTTCATGCTAGACATGGTTGCATCTAGCATGAAACAGCATGTTGCTTGTGAGTGTTGACTTTAATGTTCACTTTTATATTTACATATGCTCTTTCTGATATTGAGCACTTTATCCCATAAATATGGCGCATCTTAAAACTTTCATGTATATATTTATAATGTGATTCCTGATTCATCATATCAAATTCCCTAAATCATGAGAATAGGATATAAATTAGTCATCCTAAAATTTCTTATAAATAGAATTCATTTTTACATAGAAATGTCATTGAAAAAAAGCACTTTCAATTTAATAAAAATCAACTAATTATAAAGTTGCATTAGAATTTGCAAAAAAATTTCATTTTTATTGTTTTTTAATTAACAACTTTTAAAGAATAATTCATTAATTTGTATTTTTACTTATTTGTGTTATTTGTTATTTTGTTTTTTAAACCAGTCTTCCCATTTTCAAAGGTGATGGTATTACATTTTTTACTTTCTCCAATAATATTTACCATGTCACAATTTTTGTAGACTAATTTTTTAACAGACATGCAGCATTAAGTTTCGATCTTCCATATTTTTCATTACATTCAAATATGACGTCTCCTCAGTAGACAATTATTGTCCGATCTTGGAAAATTAACTTTTATTTTAAACTTAGTTTTATATAATAATTCTTCAGTAATTGTCTGATTTTTATTTTATTTTTCATAGTATTTCATTCGACTCTTATTGTATTCAAAGCTCGTAGTAGATAATTATTAAGGATTAAGAAAATATCAATCCAAACTTGTTTTAAATTAAAAAAAAAAAAAAATGTTAAACAAAACTGAATTCTTAAATTCTTATAAACGCCTAAATTCTTATACATTTTTAATTTTAAAGTGTTTATTTCTCTGGTTACTGGTCCACTGTTGTTAGGCTTATATACAATTCTTTTTCAGGCACTGTTAGTCTCTAGTTTGGTTTGGACTTTGTTAAAAAAAAAAAACAATTAATGACAAATATTTTTATTTGAAACTTTTTTGGACCCCCACTAAAGCCTATTATATAGACTACTGTTTTTTTTTTCTTTCTTTTTTTTTTTTTTTCCCTTGCAAAGTTTTTTTCATGCTCATGTTTCATTCATTTTGAAAGCGTTGTTCATGTAATTTCCCATGTCGTCATCATCAGTGATACAACCTGTTTCACTTGTGGCTGCACTTGTGATCGGCTCATAAATAAATAAATAAATAGAATAAATAAATAAAAAAAGAAACCATTATTACATTTGCTTTTCTTTCCTATTGAAATACGTTATTTTTTCCTTTTTATTTTGTAAATAAGATTTTCTTTTAAAGTTTTAATACAGCTGCCTCTGTTTTCTTTCACCCTTCCCTCTCTGTTTTCTTTCACCCTTCCCTCTCTGTTTTCTTTCACCCTTCCCTCTCTGTTTTCTTTCACCCTTCCCTCTCTGTTTTCTTTCACCCTTCCCTCTCTGTTTTCTTTCACCCTTCCCTCTCTGTTTTCTTTCACCCTTCCCTCTCTGTTTTCTTTCACCCTTCCCTCTCTGTTTTCTTTCGTCTCTCACCCAACCCCTCTCACCCCACTTATCTGACTCGTCTCTGTCTTTCTCTCTCCCCTCCCTTCCCATCTGACTCGTTTTCCCTTTCCTCTCACCTTCCCTCTCTGTTTTCTTTCACCTCACCCTAACCCCTTTTTCTTCCGTCTCTCACCCAACCCCTCTCACCCCACCCATATCTGACCTCCGTCTCTGTCGTCTCTCTCTCCCCCCATCTCAAACCATCTGACCCCTGTCTCAAACTGTCCCTCTCCGTCCCCCATCTCAAACGTCCTCTCCGTCCCCCCATCTCAAACGGAGTCTCTCCCCCATCTCAAACCTAACCCCTCTCCCCCATCTCGGAGTCGTCCCTCTCCCCCATCTCAAACCCCTCTCATCTCCCCCCCATCTCAAACCGTCTCCGTCTCCCCCATCTCAAACGGAGTCGTCTCCGTCTCCCCCCCCATCTCAAACGGAGTCGTCTCCGTCTCCCCCCCATCTCAAACGGAGTCGTCTCCGTCTCCCCCCATCTCAAACGGAGTCGTCTCCGTCTCCCCCCCATCTCAAACGGAGTCGTCTCCGTCTCCCCCCATCTCAAACGGAGTCGTCGTCTCCCCCCATCTCAAACGGAGTCGTCTCCCCCCCCATCTCAAACGGACGTCTCCGTCTCCCCCCCCATCTCAAACGGAGTCGTCTCCGTCTCCCCCCCCATCTCAAACGGACTCGTCTCCGTCTCCCAGTTTTTGCCCTTATAACCAAAATTAAATTTTCATTAAAAAAAAGAAAAAAGTGATATGTCAAATTTGTTTAGCACTGCTTTTTTTGCAGATATCCATTGTGTCATTGAGTTATGCTGTAATTTGAAATTGAAATCTTCAACTATTGGCTCAAGAAAGTTCAAAATTGGTTAATAGAAAAAAAACAAACAAAACACTTAACATCATTTTGTGTACACTGCGCACCACATTTTTTTTTTTTTTTCCATATTGCATTCTTTTTGTAGCATTTTTTTTTTTTTTTTTTTTTTTAAATAAAAAGGCAAATGTAAAACCTACAATATAGAAAGTAAAATTTTATATGCAGAACTTGTTAATTGCAATCATGTTTTTTTTTAAGTGAAAAACCATAGTTCATGTTATTGAGAAAAATACATGCATAAATATATCCTCTTTCTTTTGTATCAATAATTTCAACACATTTTAAGTTCAAAGCCCAGTTACAGTAAAATAAATGTGAAATAATAAAAAATGAATTCTTTTAAACTAAATAATTTGACTTTGAAGGAATTAAAAAGTTTGAATGTGAATGAATAAATTGTGAAAAATGTAAATCGACTTCCTCATATAACTGACTATATTCCTAAAGTAACAGCCACTTGTCCTAACTTTTTGAAACACAATTGTAAACACATTCATTGGACTATCAGCGACAGTGGATTATTGACAACAGGTTTTTTTTTTTATACATTTTCTTTATTCTTTGCTATAACAGAACAATTTCTTAGACACCATTGTTATTAAAATCTCTCTCTCTCATATATATATATATATATATATATATATATATTTTTATCTCTCTCCATTTGAGATATCCCAAAATATTGAGGGGTAGGGGAACTTCAACAATTTGTACCCTTGTCCAATGTGTGTGTGTGTGTGTGTTCCTACTTTAAACTCTATCTTCTAGTCACATGCTTCTCGTGTGGTTGCACAGATAAATATCCTCTTAGCTTTTGATTTTTGACGTTTTCTCTTTACGACTAATGTTTTTAAAATTTAACCAAGAGCACTTGAAATCTGAGTTGAGATGACAGGCTATATAACTTTATTTGTTTACCAAGTTTTACTAAATTTAGCTTGATATGAAACAAGACCAAAGAGGAAATGGGAGTAGAGAGACTTCAAGATAGACAATCTGCTTACTTGGAAAATCAGCATTTGAAATTTTGGGCTTTTATCAAATTTTACCAAGTTTGACACCAATCTCTAGCAGAAGGGGAAAATATAGCTCTTTCAATCTGTGTAGTTTCCTTTTTAACTACACTTAATTTATTATTTTGTTTTAAACTCTGACGATTCTGAGAAATATGCAAATAGTTTAGCCATGGGGAAGATCCATTCTTACTGTGTTCTTGTGGTGAATGCACAACAGTACAGACACAAGAGACCACGGATCACATGTGAATATGTCTGTCAAAGCTAGTTACATCCGTGTTTTCCTTGTTAGCAGTGGAACAGCTTAATATGTTCAGATACAGGCTTCTCTGCAACTTGTCCAGATCCAAGTTTCTGTCAACTATCCTGTCAATATAGTGATGGGAAAACCAGCAGTCATTAGAGGGTAGTTGGCTGTCTCTTATCCCATAGTTCTTGCTAAACTTGGTGGTGAAGGACCTAATCCCGTTCTTGTCCCTCTTCCACCACCTATTCCTGATAACTGCCCCCACTAGTTCCCACTGCACTAAGCTAGTTAGCTGTCCCTGGAAGTCCTGCCTGCCCGGTAAGGCAGATTGAACTTCCAGTAGCCAGTCATTCTAGGCCTACAATCTAATGCCACCCGAGCACAAACGTTTGTGGTCCGAATAGCCTAACCAGTGGAACGTAGGACAATCTAGTAAATCTACATTGGCTCCTCTAACATTCCATCCAGGTAGCTAACCACCTGGGTAAAAGGTCAACTTTCCCCACCCTCCTGGGTGATCAACCCAGTATCTATTGTCGAGACCAAACTCGTTGATCAGATCCACCAAGCTACAATCGCCTGCCCTTCCTTTAGCTCCCTGCCCTCTATCTAACTTGGGGTCCAGGATGGCATTCCAGTCCCCCATTAAGACTAGGCGTGTCAAATCCACCAGAAATGGCTCCACCCGCTCCTCCTGGTCATTGGGCGCATAAACTGCAATGACTCAGAATGAACCGCTTTTCATGGCAATATCAGCCAGGATCAACCGGCCCTCGGCATCAACATGAACAGGGTTCACCTTTGCATCCAGGGAACGTCTAACTCCTCTGGAATGCCAGTCCCCATATGCTGAATTGACGACAAAGTTGTTAGATAGCACACGCATATTGACACTGCAAACAAAGTGGGTCGCTTTGATCGTGGCGACAATCACTCCAAACGACAAGAGGTCATGGAGCAGGTGGGCAGCCTTACCCTGATCCCTCAAGCCCTTCGCATTCAGACTAGCTAACTTGATTGACATCTTTTAAACTACTCACATACCAGGCGGAAATCTGCAGAAGAAAGGACCCCGACGGATTGTCCCAGGCTCTCTATGCCCAACTCCGTTGTCATCCGACCATCCAGGACAGTCCTGTCGACGTCCATGGGGTAGGTTAGCTTGATTACCCTATATAAGGAGGGATGGAGCAAAACAGCCCTAAGAGGGCCTTCTTTTGTTTGGACAGACCCTTTTTGACTTCCTCCTTGTCTACTTTGTATATTGACTCTGGTCCAGGGAACAATTTCTTTTTCTCTCTTGAGGGGTGAGGAGGGGAAGAAGTGGACATGTGAGGGGGTGTGGAAATTGAACTAAGGGAAGAATTGGAGGGAGAGGGGGATGGAGTACAGGAAGGGGAAATAGGGAGACTCCTTGCTTTTGGCAAGACAGTTTTGTTGGCTTCTTTTGGTGAAGCGGGGACGGAGAGTGACCTGGTTTTGTCCATGACCCTCTCCGTCCTACTACGGCCAGAGTGCCTTTGCGATGACTCATCCTCTTCTTCTCTGCTCCTTTTTAAAGAGGATGCTTGAGGTGGAGGCATTTTGTCCACCTCCATTGGTGTGTCAATTTGCTGCTTCTTTGTTGATGTGCTGCTGCTTTTGGTGCAGCCGTTTTTCTTTTTGATCCTGTTTATTCTTCTCTCGCCGCTCATGTGGTGGTGGTTGCTACTTTGCTTGAGGAACTTCCTGTTTTGCAAGAGACGGCACATTAGTTGTTTTTCGACTTTTCTTGACCTCCTTCCAGGTCCCATCAGTAGTCTTTGAAGATGGCCCCTCCTCCAATGCTGTTGCGACTACTGCTGCTGTTGTTATTGCTGGATGAGGTGGAGATTGTGTACATTTACTGGGGCACTCCTTAGCCATGTGTCCCAAAGCTCCACACACCCAGCAACACAGTCTCCGGCCCTCTACTACTACCAACATTCTCTTTTCACGGCAAACCATTATGCTGGGTATTCACCGAAACTTTTTCAGTTTACTGTGACATGTATCTCCATATCACCTGTAGCTATCCTGGCTTTGCTCATGATGACCTTAACTTCATTCATCTGGCCGTATTTTGCAAAAAAGGCCCCCATTCTATCCTCGTAGATATCCACGGGCACCCCATGAATGGTAACTTTTGTGAATTTTTTTCAAATGACACTTCATCATCCAAACACATTTAGTCTTTTTTTTTTTTTTTTTTTGGTTTGGTTAATGAAGCTCACAAACAATGCATGTTTGGCACAAATATGTTTTAATAATTTGCTAAACTCAGGAAACTTTTTAGGGAGCTGACATTTTCAGAGCAGGCATGTCTTTTTATAGCACTGGCTCATGCTGGATCTGGTCTCCTGCCATTTTGGCAATTATTTGTCCCAAATATCTGATTTTATTAAAAAAAATTCAGATTTTTCATCTTTCAGCTTGAATCCATAGTCCTGAATTCTTCTGAAAACCTTAAACATTTTTCTTGTGTTCTTCTGGGTTTCCACTTTTCAACAAAATATCTAGATAAGTGACTGCAAAGTCCACTAATCATTGTATCCATTACTTGCCAAAAAATAGCTGGGGCGACCTTTATTCCAAAAGCCAAATGATTAAATTCCTCAATGTGTGTTTATTGTAAGTAATTTGGAACATTTGTCATCCACTTGAATCTGCAGATACGTATTGATACGAAAATATCCAACACCCGCTAAGTTGCACAAAAACCTCTTCCAGTCCCTGAAGTGGGTAATGATAACTTTTGAGAGCATCATTTAAGCCTGTGGTGAAATCTGCACAGACACATATCTCTTTAAGCTTTTTCTTTATATATACCATTGGTGAAGCCCAAACACCATTTTTTTTTTTTTTTTTTTTTTTTTTTTCAAAGTTCGTCAAGCTCATTATCATTGATCTGTGTTAATGATGCTAAGGGTACATTACTTTTCTTTTTGAAAACCTGTTGTACATTTTCCTTTAGCTCAAATTTAACTATCATTTTATTGCACCTGCCTAACCTACCAGAAAATACCTCTGGGAATTTAATTTTCAATTCTTTTTTTAAACTTTCTACCTAGTTGGTAAAACCTTTAACCTAAAACCTTTAGCTTCTTGATAAAACAAACTGATCAAACTGTTCCATAACTAAACTGCTCCAAAAAAGTTATGTTATTTGTTATGTTATTTTTCATTACAAACAGTCTTAATTTCAATGTTTTCCCATTCAACGTCACATTTGTTATAAGTTCTCCTTCGAATTTTATTTTCTGTCCTGTAACACTACAAGCGATTATCTAGGTAACCATTAATATTCGTTTTCCTTTCTTCCCCCCCCAATCTATATACATTTATTATGCTTCAGTCGGATCTGCTATCCAATTGTAATTTAATATTTTTAAGTATTTACCTGCACAAATTTCCTTATATTCCAACCAGCAGATTAATCCACATTAGTAACTTTTTATTATTCACTTGTTTTTTTACTTTTACCTTACAGTCTTATGTCTTTTCTTTTGCAACGAAAAAATTCTTTATTTTTGTATGGATAGTTATTATTAAAATTATAGTTCTCCACATGCATAACAGGGTTTAGGAGTAATG